ATAATAAAAAATGATTGGAAAAATAACCAGTGAATGTGTCCCACAAGATTAATAGGGCAGGGGCACCTAAAAGGTGAATGTCGCAGAGTGGGGTGTGAGGCAAAGACAGGATAGGAAACATGGTTCTCTCTACTTCCACACATATGACTACATACTGAAATACGTCGTGCATTTATACAGATCACTAAAGTGGCAGAAGTAAAGGATGGCCAAATGTTAGCTTTTAAATTATATTTTTATTTTCATTTTTTAAAATTTTAGGTTAAAGAGAAAACAAAAACAACAAAAAGCAAACACACAGCCAAAAAACAAAACAACAAAAACCAATAAAAATGATACAGAATTTCAAAGCAAGGGGATAGAAATTTAACAATAGTTGCTACATTATATATGGTTATCTTCAAAGTAGTTGCTCAGATCAGCAGACATAGGCATGCAAGATAGATAAACATAAGAGTGAAACTGAGTTTCAAATCAGTCTATTAGGACACCTACAATAGTTGATACACTATGTATTGTTGTCTTCAGTAAATCAGAGCAGAAGATATATGCAAGATATCTTGTCTATATAACATTAGCAAAAAACTTTCTTTTTAATGAACTAAGAAAATCTAGCTGTGTAACAGTCTTAACTATCTTGTATATACGTATATATTTCCTTTTTTCCTTTCTCCATTTCCCCTTTCTCTATAAATAATGCTTTTAGGTAAATGCTAATATTTTCATTAAATGATATAAAATATTCAAGTAGGCTCAATTGGTTTGGCCAAATGTTGTCTCCCAATGTGCATATGTGTGTATGTGTGTGTGTGCATGTGTGCATGTGTAAATTAAAGTTTACACAATGTAAAAACAATTTGTAATTACACAACTCAGTGAAATTTAATGTATTCACAATTTTGTGTCACCATTATTCCTGGTTGCAAATCATTTCTATCAATCAAAGAAAACATATTGTTCCTTTAAATAACTACGCCTCATTCTGCAGTCTCACTAACCACTAATTTGCTTTCTGTTTTAGAGATTTACTTGTTTTGGATGTTTCATAGAAATACAACTAGGCGATGCATAGTTTTTTGTGTTTGGATTTATTTGGCAAGCATGTTTTCTAGATCTATCCACATTATATAAGTCCTTCATTACTCCTTCTTTATATTTGTCTTAATTAATATTTTCATTAATTAATGGATATTTGAGTTACTTTACCCTTAACACTATTGTAACTGTGCTGTTATAAACAATTATATGTAATAATTCCTTTAGTGTCTATATTCAACTATTTGGATATGCACCTGGAAATAGAATTATTGGGCCACACCATAAATTGACATTTAGTTCTCTGAGGAACTGTAAGTTTTCCTCAATGGCTGCCTCACCTGCATTCATCCCAAATCATTCATGAGAGTTCTTGTCCCTTTATATCCTGCCAACGTCGATCATTTTTCAAAGGTTGTATAATAACCAGTTTATAAGATAGGAATTGGTATCTCACTATGGTTGCATATCATATGTTATTTGCATATCCCTAATGAGTGATGTTAGTATTTCATGTAATTTGTTCCTTTCATATTTTCCTTGGAGAAATATCTTTTCAAGTATTATATCCATTTTCAAATTAGATCATATGCCATGTTGCTTTATGGTTATATGATTTTAAAAATGTATTCTGCTTATTAAAATTTCATCGTATATATGATTTCAAGATATTTCCCCAGGATCCATGGGTATTACATAACTTTTAATTATTTCAGGAGACTTTGACCTCTGATATTGCCACATCCTGGACTGGGCAACACCAGGGCAAGCCTGGACCTTCAGAGAACCATGAGGCATATCAGAAGGTGGTTACAATTATTTGAGACCAAAGTCCATAATTCATTTTCCCTCAGTAACATGGTTGCTGAAAGCTAGAGAATAGAAGATAATAAAAAATCTAGCAGAAAGGCTGTAAAACTTTCTTAACTAAAATGTGTTGGCCCATTTTTCCATTGAGTGCTCTTATGGCTGCCAGACATTTTTAAATTAGAGTTCAGAATTTTTGGAGATTCATATACACCCACTTCTATCACAGCACTTCCAAATTTTTTTTAAATTAAGGAAAGAGTTTTGTTGCCAAGACTTTTCATGCTGATGTGGGAACACCAGGCTTGTATCTCTTGGCTCTGAATAATAAAATCTTGGTTGGAGGAGGCAGAGTGCAAGCAATTTTATTTAAATGATATTAAGGCAAGGAAGTAGAGCTCCCAATAACCAGGAGGGGTCTGGAGAAGGGTATCCATGGAGGGTCTTCTCTAGGAGCTGTTAAGGCATCTAGAAGGGAGCTCACACCACTGTGAAAGCGGCATTATCTGTACCCTTAGAAATCCACACACCCTTTAGACCCCAGTCTATGCTCTGTTTGTACAGTGTCCATGCCAGGCCTATACACCCTTCATTCAGTGTCCTATCTGATCATTTTCTGGTCATGCTCAGCGAGATTTCTGACAGGTACAGGACACCTGTCTGATATTTTTATAAAATCCCCAGAAGGTGATGACTCAGTAGACAGCATTTTATACTATCTGATCCCATTTTAAGGCCTCTGCTCTTGGTTATTCACTTTCTTTTCTTTTTATATATTGAGAAAATGATAGATAAAAATAATTTCATCAGATAGATAGATGGATAGATAGATGATAATAGGATAGATAAATAGATAATATAGGTTGGACAGTATGGCATGGAGTTGTACTAGTCAAAAGTTCATGTTTAACTATATTTTAAAGAAGTTTGTAGGTAAATGCAGTCATACAATTTTTAGGCATATTTGGGAAACTGTTTCTTGTTAGCCAGATTTCCATCACTGTACAAATACCAGAGTAAACTGCAGTTTAGTCTGGAAAAGATTTATTTTCACCCTCCAAGGCAGAAACATCACGTTGGAGTGGCACAGGCAAGGAAGCTCATCACATCACAGTGGCCAGTAAGCAGAAAGAGGCAGAAAAAGCCTGAAGGAGACGCAAGCCCCAAGACCGTATCCCAGGACCTCCTTCTTTCAAGTGAGCCCCATAGCCTGCTTCCATTACCTCAAATAATGCCATCAGATGGTTGTCTCATGAAAGGATTAATTCACTGTTGAAACTAGAGGCCAAAAGATGCAATTACTTGTCTAGACTCCGCCTCCAAATTTTGCTTCAGTAGGGATCAGACCCTTAATACCTAAATCTTTGGGAAATACTTCATATTTGAATTAAATTTTTTCTCCTGTGGCCCTAAAGCCTCAGGTCCACTTCACAATGTAATATGCATTTACTTAATCTTCAAAAGTCGCCAATACCTTCGTAGATCCAACATTACTCAAAGGTGCAGGTCCAAATCTCCTCTGACATGAAGGCAGACTCTTATCTGTGAGTCCCTGTAAAAATCAAGAAACAAGGCACATAATTCCAAGACACCATGGCATAGAATAAACATTTCCATTTCAAAAGGGATAAATACGGGAATAGAAAGGAATCAGACCCTAACAGGGCCAAAATCCAGCAAGGAAACATTGAGTCCTGTAGCTCCCTATCCAGGACGCAGGTGTGTGGTGGTGAAACATGGCACCCAAAGCGGTCAGGGAGCCCAGTTTCTATGGCTTTGTTGGTTGAAGAGCACATGACCCTTGTCTTGGGCTGGCTTTCTGTTCTTCCTGAAGTTTTTCTTTGTACATGGTCTACTTGCCTGACATCTTCAATTTGCTGGGATCTCTCTTGCAGTTTTGGTCTCCATGTGACAGCTTGGTCTCCATGATGTCCTCTGCTACCCGTGCACCCTGAGATGAGCAGAGTTTCTCTGACCCACCCTTTGCCATGGTATTTGCCATAGGCCTAGAAGCAACAGAGTCATAGGTGCAGAGACTGAATCTGTGACTGGGAAAAATAACTCCCAACATGTATGATGTCACACGCACTGAGTTTAGGTACCCTGAATATCAAAGAATGAATTTTGAGGATCAAAGAGGGTAAGAGTAGGAAATGTTTGTTGAAAGCTCTTGAGAGACAGGATTGGGCTGAAAGTGGGCTCCCTGCAGGCTCTTTCTCAGGGGACACCTGTAGGGATTCTGACTCTGACAAATTGTCTTGTTTTGCATACCTTCCTGTGAAATCTGAGTGGATGCTCCAATAAGTCCTGCACATTGTACATGCCTTCAAAATTAGCATCATGTGGTCAATGTCAAGATTTACTATGAGCTTGGGCAGTAGTCAGGCCCAACCAAACCATAGCTGTAAAAGATTCTGAGTGTCAAGTTGGTGGAACATAGGGAAACATTTCTCTAGGAAGCCCTGGGTATACAAGGTGTACCCAGGCTCTTTTCTTAAAACAATTCCTTTCAAAAGCATTTATATGTTTACAGCCTTGAACCTTTGATAGGTGGAGTCTGGCCAATTCCTGAGATACCTTGAAGACATTTTTTCCATGGTTCCAATATAAAATATTTTGTATTTGGTTTCTTTTAAGAATTACTTTACCCATTACATCTTCTTCTTAGTTTTAAATGTATTCCTTTTCTGGACAGAGTTTTTCAAACCCTTAGGCTATGGAGTTTACACTTGATTCTCAGTGTAATTTGAGCCAAATGCAGCCACACTATCTATGACACTGTCTGAAGATTGTGCTGTCTTGAAATTTCAACCAGTGTAATCAGTCCATTCCCCTAAACTGAGCCTCACAAAAAGTTTGAAAGTGTGGATAAAATATGGACAAATTCTTCACTAGAATATAACATGAGTGGTCTCTAGTCCAATTCATAATAAAATCCTTATTTCTATCTGTAATGTCATCAACATAAGCTTTACTGTCTGCATTCTAATAAGGCATCGGGTATTCTGAGCCCTGAGCTGCATTTCCCCTTAAAATCCATTTACAACATTCTCGATTTGTCTAGCTTACTTTCACAAATTTCACAAGCTCCTCCTACAAACCAATTCCAAAGTCTCCTCAGCTGTATCATCCGGTACATTCTCAGTAATGACTGCTTCTCTGGCATAGTTTTCAGTACTCACCAGCTTTTCTGCCGGGGTAAAAGACCTGACATAAACAACTTCAAGGAAGACAGATGCACTTGGTTCATGGATTTAGTACAGACAGATAAGTTAGATAGAAATCAATAGATAGTCAGAGAGCCCTTGAGGTGATCAGTGCGGAAGAGACAGACACAGGAAAATTTGTGGCTGGAAATGAATCTGAAGAGGGCCTGGCCTCGAGGTGGAGGTGAGTAGACAGGCCTGTGGGTCTTTCTAGAGATAAACACAAACTTGGGATTATACTGTAACTAGCAGCACCTGTTCCAACGGTCCCAGAGAGGCATCAGACACATAGGTGGGTGACCAGAACATCTGCACTCATACACCCATTCCTTTCCAGAAATGCCTTTTTGTTTCTATGATTAGAAGTTATAGATAAACTAAAATTAATGATACTTGCCTTATACCCTGGTTATGTGCCTTGTTCCCCTATTGGATCAATATTAGCTCAATGAATATACTTGTAATTCTCTAGGTTGATTGTAGTTTGACCCATGTGGCATCCATGTTGTGATTTTATTTTATGAAGTATCCATGGAGAAAGAGCCTGCAGGGAGCCCACTTTCAGCCCAATCCTGTCTCTCAAGAGCTTTCAACAAACATTTCCTGCTCTTACCCTCTTTGGTCCTCAAAATTCATTCTTTGATATTCAGGGTACATAAACTCAGTGCGTGTGACATCATACATGTTGGGAGTTATTTTTCCCAGGCACAGATTCAGTCTCTGCACGTATGACTCTGTTGCTTCTAGGCCTTTGGCAAATACCATGGCAATGGATGTGTCAGAGAAACTGTTCACCTCATGGTGCACAGGTAGCAGAGAGTGAGAGGGCTCAGGGACCACATATTCCCAAGTTGATGCCACTAGGACCCAGTCCCTTTATCTAGGCCAAACCTTCTGCTGATATCAGTTCCCAATAATGTCATCAAATTATGATCGCATCAATGAATTATTCCACTTAATGCAGTTATAGGCTTTATAATACAACTACTTCTTCCCAAAAACTCAGTTAAGCATTCAATAAATGAGCCTTTGGGGGAGATGTGTTGAATACCAACAATAATAGTTATTAAAATCCAAATTAATTTAGAACACCAAATTAATTGGTGTAATTTAGAACACCTAGCACACCAAATTAATTTAGAACACTTAGCACAGATAATCTTCCAAAAATATATAAACACAGGGGGAGAAAAAGTGCATGGAGAAAGTTCACTTTCTCCGAACTTACTAACCCCATCAATAAGACCTGAAGAAGCAATTGCCCAGAGAACAGCTCCACAGGTGCCACAGAAGGGATTGTTGTACTCATGGAGTAGAAAAAATGACCAGATCTGGTAAAGACGTCATGTAAATGGGACATATAATTTATCTTGCTACTTATTGTTCCTATCCCATTTTTAAAATTTAAGCATAGAATGTGCTAAATCTTTTAGTACTTTTTTTTTTTACATTTCTTAATGCATTCATTTTGATCACTGTGGAGAAAGATGTACTGTCCAAGGAACAGAAGGTATAATGTTGTTCAGAGCCCTATATTTTAATATCAAATCAAACAAAAGTAGGTCTTTCTTCACTCCACCATTATATTTCTACAATAGTCATTATGACTGATCTTCCATCCATATATTTATTTTCCTTTTTATGACCTTTTCATAAAAAATAGCTTCGGAAGAAAAACTGTCCATTTTTAGGAGGGAAGATCATTTGTAGTGTGCATTTCACTTTGTAGCTGAGTGCATAATTTTTATTCTGTAAAGAGAAATGGAATCATTGAGGGGAATCAAACAATTATGTTGTTATAATATATACAAGTAATGAAAATCTTTTAGCAAGGTACCGAGTAAGGCTGTGAACTGAAGCCTTCAATTTTTTTTTAACTTTTTATGAGTTAAGTTCCAAATTAAATTTGTCCAGAATATAACAAACTTACTTTAATCTTGTCTTAAAATGTTTTTTGTTAAATTTGAGAAGGTAAAACTTTCTCAGATGAATTACATGGATCCTGCATGTCTGCATGGTAAACAAAGCCAGTAGCATTATAAAATATTATAATAGTGTTGTCTTTACCATTTATAGATAATAGAGCCATTACTGTGTTTCATCAATCATTTTAGACTGCATATATATTTTTAGCATAGTATATAGCATGAAGACAAACTAAAATTCAGTAAAATATTATTAAAATATTAGCCTAGTTTATCTAGGCAGTAAGACTGTGGTTCACTTGTAAGAGTTGGAGGCTATCTCCCATGAAGGATTCATTCCTCAACTAGCTTTGTTTTCTTGCACACTAGAAAAAAAAGGTCAATAATAAAAGCAAGGAAGAATGTCTGTTTCTCTCTTTAAACACACAAACAAGTGCTATACCTTTTGATGCATGAGTAGAGCTGTTCGTGATGGCAATGAAGATAGTGCACATCTTAAATTCAGAGAGTACCATTTGCATAACAGAAACTTTAACAATATTTCTAAGCCCGTGTCGTGTAGTAATGTCCTTACTTGTGTTCTAGAGCTTATTGTGTCTGATGTTGCATTGGGGTACTTGATCTTGAGAAACTTCATAATTTGGGTTGGATTTTGGAAAAAAGTGAAAATATTGTGAATTATAAAATACAGTGAATGAAAATATTAAGTACATATTTACATTAGCTACTATTGCTAGTGGACTACTATTATAACTACTATTGCTATGGGGAGGGAATGGAGAAATACTGCTCAAAAGGCAAAGTGTAAGGGAGTGAAAATATGAAGTTAAAGAACTAAGTGTTGGGAAGTACTCTGCTGTCCAGAGTATTTATTATTATTGTCGTTGTTGTTGTTGTTGCTGTTGTTGTTAGCATTATAAATCTAAATGATCTCTGTGCCTGGATGCAAGGAAGAAAAATGTCAATGAAATTATAAACTTAGAGTTGACTTTCCTACATAAACCAAACTCAATAAAATGAGGACAGTATTTAAATTGACATTTGATGTAATAATCAAATGAACAATCAGTAATAGATTCAGTCGGTATTAATGCAAGAAAAGATTCAATAAATGGAAAGTGCATGAAAAATATAATTTTTTGAGCTGAAAATTCCTTAATAAAAGAAATAACATGACTGAGATTGACAGATTTTCCAAATTAAACACATTGAGAAGGACACAGTAGTTATATTATGAAGATCATAGCTTAAACTAGTGATTCTACACACTGTTGGAGCTCCACAGTCTCCTCAATGCCTATAGCACTGTTACTGCACTTGGCCCAGTGAAGGAGGATGTACCATTGGTCGACCAGGGGGAAACCTGCTTGTGACACCAGAAGCACGTGTGTGGGGGGCATGGGCAGGGGAGGAAACTTTTGACGCTTGCACTGGCTGTGCAGTTGCAACAGTTTCTGACTCACACGTGGAAAGGAGGCAGAGAAGACCTAGCACAGCTTTAACATTCTAATTGGTTGAGATTTTATATAATATATTGCAGCAGATAAAATTAATTAAATATTTTCTTTATGCCATGATATTAAAAGCAGTTTTGCAAATCTACTAAATTAGAGGTCAAAAAACTCTTGGAAGCTTTTCTTTGAAATTAATCTTCAAACAAATGAAATACAGGAGCATCTCTCATTGAACTAGAGGTGAGCTCTGGAGTCCACAGGGTCTCGGATTCCTTCCTTTTGGCATGGACAACATAGCAGACTGTCCTTTGAAATTTCCAGAACCTTCTGGTGCACCGTTTGGGATAAATAATCCTCTTAACCTTTTCCCAAACAACAAAAGCTCCAGCTTCTAAAGAATGCTTAGGATGTTGAACCCTTTTAATTTCTTTTTATTTCTGCACAAAGAGTTGATTTGCCCCAGATTATCAACAAATGGGTCTTATCAATATGCATGTCTAAGGACCAAGACCTAGCTCTGCATCACAATCAGAGAATTTAGGAATTCACCAAGAAAACAAGATGCCCCTGTGATAAGCTTTATATATTGTTGCTTTTTAGTATTTTATACCACATTAGTGTTCACTGACATAAGTCCCTATTGTAAAAGAATTCTGACTACATAAGGTTTTGTGTTTCATGACTGATGCAAAGTGAGTTGCACATATGGATTTACAGAAGAATTTCTTGGGATGTGAGAACATAATTTGCTGACTTAATAGCTTATTGCTACATATTACAATCATATACTTAATATCAATATAACTCTAGCTAAAAGGCTTGTCACACTACCATGAAATGAGAGAGTTCATTTACATTTTAATTTTAGCTTTAAACACATAAGACTAGGATAATATTCAGTGTATATTAACTAAGACTGATAGTCAACGCCTACATTTAAACTTAAATAGGAATGCACACAGAAGAATTAAAATCAATGACTTTGATTTTCTTTTCCTGGAGCTACTGTGAAATTATTTGATCTATCTTTCTTAACATCTCAAGTCAGGTGCATTAAGACTTTAAAAAGGCAGTGGAATGTTGCATTAAAATTAAAGGCTTATTCTGAGAAGCAGTGAACTAAATCTTGAGACATTAATATCTATATGTAATACTTCTGGTTATATGTGACCAAATATAAGCTTTTAATGCTTGCTGACCTTAGTGTGTTGTTTTATGCATAGCTAAATAAGTAAACTGCTATTTACTGTTCCACAAACAAGGCTCCTTTTTTTGCAGTCAGTAGAGATCATTGTATGAATATAAGAGATTTTATAACGATCTAAACTTTTTACCCTAAAACTATTCAACTCTACATTTTTTTAACATTTTCAGCATTAAGCAATTATTTATGCATTTTTGTCTCTTTAAACTAATCACTTTCACCCCTAGTTTTTAATTGTATGATTAGTTTTCTAGCAGAAAATAAAGTCTGTTGTTCAGTTAGGACTAAATTACACTTTAAAATGTATAATTACTTGATGTAACCATTTCACTTACTCTCCCCAAGGTTTTAATGATTACCTTCACTCACATTTACATATCAGATCTATCTATAGTTCTTCCAGAGGTGTCATTTTCAAGTCTAGATTTTTAGGATATGAAGACGCTTGACTGCATTTCCTTATAATGAGCAACTAGAAATAGATTCCAACTGCAGTAATGTAGACCTTGCCAACCAATTAGAATGAAAAGACTTGGGGCTGGGGATTTAGCTCAGCGGCAAAAAGCGCCTGCCTGGCAAGCGCAAGGTCGTGAGTTCGGTT